CTAATCTACTCTAAGTTAGCTCAGATGGCATATGCTACCATATAGTGTAAACAAAGAAGACTGATTACTTAAAACCTCAACCAATGTTCCAAAAGTTACAATATTTTTCGTGATGCTGCCGACTAAGCTGAGTTTCTATTTACACACTAAGCAAATCTTTCCTGACTTTTCATTAGCTGCACCCTTAGTCTATTATCACTGTAGCCAAAATTATAGTATCACAAAATAAAACTTTATTAAGGGGCTGGAGAGATGCCTCAATGATTCAAATGCTCTTCCAGCAAATGCAGATCCCATTTCCAGCACCTCCATGATGGCTCACACACTTAACACCCAAGGGAATCCGATGTCCTCTTTTGGTCTCTGTGGGCACTGCAAGAACACGGTATACAGCTATACATGCAGGTACAACACTCACAAAATAAAAATGACTTTGTCAGCCGGGCAGTGGTGGCGCATGCCTTTAATCCCAGCACTTGGGAGGCAGAGGCAGGTGGATTTCTGAGTTCGAGGCCAGCCTGGTCTACAGAGTGAGTTCTAGGACAGCCAGGGCTATACAGAGATACCCTGTCTCAGGAAAAAAAAAAAAGACTTTGTCTTTTATTTCATTTTAAAACAAACAAGTTAAAGCTGAGTGGTAGTGGTGCATGCTTTTAATCCCAGCACTTAGCATTCAGAGTCAGGCTGATCTCTGAACCTGAGGCCTGCCCAGTCTACAGAGTGGGTTCTAGGATAGCCAAAGCTACCCAGAGAAACCCTGTCTCAAAAAACAAAACAACAAAACAAAACAAAAACGAAACAAAAAAAACCAACCAACCAACCAACCATACCCAAATGATTTAATTCAGTCTTTTTTTTTTTTGTTTTTTTGTTTTTTGTTTTTTCGAGACAAGGTTTCTCTGTATAGTCCTGGCTGTCCTGGAACTCAGAAATCCGCCTGCCTCTGCCTCCCAAGTGCTGGGATTAAAGAAGTGCGCCACCACCACCCGGCTCAGTCTTTATATTTCTAACGTATATTATTCTCCAACAGTTTGATGAGGTAGGGCCTTGTCCATGCTAGGGAAATATACTTCACCACCAAGCTTTCCCCTAGGTCTTCTATTTTTATTTTGTTAACACATAGGCCTATTTTTGAGAAGAGCTTTATAAATCTCTACACTCCAAGTATCTTTTAATCTCCATGCACTAAAGATATTTAAAATCATTCCCTTTGATCCACCCAAAGCACCTTCTCTTTAATAATCCACATGCTGGAAATCATACCAGTTAGCACTATACTTTAAAAAGGAAGTCCTGAGACCTTAATTGTAGCTGAAGACTTTTATGTTTTCTTATTAATCATAACCTACTCAAGGTTGTCAGAATATAGGTAATAATTATCGCCCAAAGGCCTAAGAAATAAGTGTGACATTTTAGTAATTTACTTTCTAGGCAGATCTATGAGTTTGAGAGCATCTTGGTTGACAGAGTAAGTTCTAGGAAGCCAGGGCCACACAGAGAAACCCTAACTCGAAAAAAAAAAACCAAAACCAAAACAAAATGAAACAACAAAAAACCCCCAACCAACCAAGAATTAGATTCTTTACATCTAGCGTATCTGTCCTAGTTAAAAACAGGTTTAAAACAGACCTACACATAATCCCACTACCAACTGGGAAGATGTGGGACTCATACATCTGTTTCCGTCAGTAGGACCATTACATGATCTGGACATTGCCTAACTCTTTGATGTACCACTTTCTCTCTAGTTCTCCCTATTTGTAGATAAGGAAACGGAGGTGCAGGCTGAGCAACTTGCTCCTTACATACTGATATGTAGTTAAAGTCAAAATTTGAGCCTATTAAATTTTGAATCATTTGTGCTTTTAAAATTAGGAACTAGAAACATCTAACATGATCAAAAAGAAACACTGAAATACATACTCTGTGTTGGAAGTATGTATCACATATTAGGCCGAACTAGTAGGACAGAACTAACAGTATTGCTTATCTAAAGGAAACCTGTGGCAGATTCATTTCTCCTGCAGCTCAACAAAACAGGGATTTACTAAACAAAAGAAAGTAGACACTCAGCTAGAACTACCCATTTGGAAACAGCGGTTTCATTTTTAAAACAGAGCCTCTCTTAAGGGTGGGAATGCAAACATTCTCAAGTATCTGTATATAGAGAACTGGAGAACTAAACAAAGCGAGCATCAAAATAAACGCTATAGGAAAATGTTCAACAATTCTGGGAGATTTAGAAGCTGCTAGTCATATTTATTCAGCAATTTTCTCCAAATACCATCATCCAAAAAGGTGATGCTTTGTTGTCTTAATCAGCTGGGTAAAGGTTATAGGCAACAGGGTAAGAGAACACAGAATGAAAACATGGCTACTATTTTAAAAGGCACAAATCTGTTTGCAAAATATGGAGTGAGTAATGAAACAGTATATTATTTACAGTAGAAAGAAAGTAGCCTGAAATGACAAAGGGAATTCTTGTCACAAAGAACTTACATGTTGGCTGATTGACCAAACAATTCATAAAAACAATTATTAAAAAACCCCATGTTTTTTTCTGTCAATGAAACAGAAATCAAGAATTTATTTAGTACTTTTGATAATTTTCAAAGTATTATGACTTTTTTCATTTTGTAATTTAATTTAAAACAATTTTTTGGGTAGTCACTACTAAGTACTAAACAATTCTGACACAAAATTTCTTCCCTAGGGAATTAAGTACCAGTGGGAAAACAAATTAGGATTACAAGGTGCTATGAAAAAGCACAGAAAAGAATTAACAGGAAACCAAGGAACAGAAATATTAAATGACTTCAAAGACAAATACATAATGTACACTAAAAACTAGAACCAAACCCAAATCTTTAACACTAAATCTGATATCCATAAAGCCTCCCTGTATCATAGAAGCACAATAATGTTAAGGGCTCCCCCAACCCCTTTAGACAGGGTTTCAACGTGCAGCTCTGGCTGGCCTCAAGCTCATAGAACATCTGTCTCAGCATTTTCCTTCCTTCCTTCCTTCCTTACTTTTTCTTTTTTTCCCGAGACAGGGTTTCTCTGTATAGCCCTGGCTGTCCTGGAACTCACTCTGTAGACCAGGCTGGCCCCCAACCCAGAAATCCGCTTGTTTCTGCCTTCCAAGTGCTGGGATTAAAGACGTGTGCGCCACACACCTCTCACTCGAGATTACACCTCTGCCTTTAAAGTAGTTAATGCCACACAGGCTGTAAGTGCTGTGATGTAAACAAACAAACAAAAACACTTTTTGAAGCTAGTTTCAAATTCAAACACTTTGCATTATCATTAGCTTGCCCCTGTTAACAAAGGTACACTTCTGGTACATTGTCATGTCACCATAGCAGATATGGGCAATGAACATTCCAAAATAAAATGTACCACGTTGGGAAAACGCTTTGTTCAGTTCTAAAGTTTACTAGTACAAGTAAGTCTTTTGAGAATCAGGGCCTGCCATCTGGAAAGAAAAGGCATTACAATTTCATAACTGCCATTTTTGATGAACTATCGAGGGTCCCCATCCCTCTAACAACTTAAGAAAGAGAAAAATCAAAACTTTTCTGATGTATTTTCTTCAAGAAACAATGTTTCTTCTTCCTTAGTGAAAAGTAAAGCATCTAAAATATGGGGGGTGGTTAAGAGCCCCAATGTGAGCACTCACGTAACTCTTAAAGTTTTTCTTAATCTTAGGATTTCAGCGTCCATAATTAAAAGACCCCAGTTTTATTTTCATAGTTCTACAGACAGGGCAAATAATCTAATCGCCTCAGTAGCATGACTTCCAATAGCTGATTTTCAATTCTAGGAATTCACTCTTACAGAAATGCACAACTAGAGGGAAAACTTAACGACCTTCAATATTAATAGTTACGTTTCGGACTTTTTAAAAAAAACCTTAAATATGGTGGTTTGTCCTATTGGTACTCTGGCGAAAAGTTCAGTCTCTACAAGAGCCAGAGAAAAGTTTTGGCAGTATCCTGGGGCTGAAAAGAAGGAAACAAGAAAAATCACCCAAATTCTCAAGCCCGGTAAAAGCAAAGCGCTCAATCGTCCTGAACTAGAGGCGGGACGTCGGAGAGTTCTCCAGAAGCCTCCCCACCACAGGACATCTTTAAAGAGGCTGTAAAAATCTACTTGGCCCACGTTCCTTCACAGGGTTTCTCCGCCCGTACAGCCACGTTTCTGGCTCCCAGGACCAGACACCGGCTGGCGAGAAGACGCAGGAAATAACCAGCGGGCGGTGGCGACGGTGTCCAGACACTTCCCGCGCAAGAACGGGGAAGGGGGGGTGATAGCCCGGGGCCTAGCCTCACTCGACCACTCCTGTCACTGGACATAAGTAAGGCAAATTCTTGGGGAAAGAAAGCTGCAGGGCCAGTTACCTGAAGTGTATATGTGAATCCCAAACTAGGGTCCCACGCCGTGCTCCTTAATGGCAACGATGAGACTCGGAACACCAACACCGGACGCCGAAGCTCCTCAGCGTGCGCTTCGCCCAACCCAGCGCGCATGCGGATCCACCTCTCACTGCGCAAGCGCCGACAGAAAAGGCCCTTCGTTACCACTAACAATAGAGTCTTGGTCCTCCTAATATGGGCGGTGGGAACCACAGGGCGAGCTGAAAAGTACCTTTCTTTGGTATTTATAGATTTTGCAGAGGGAACTTGCTAGGCTTAAAGAAGAGGTAAGTTTCTGTTTCTTGCTCCAGGATGATTACTTTAAGTTTTAGTCAACCAAGAGATGGCGCTGTGACGAAAGACGGAAAGCCGAGGAGAGGAGGAGCGTGATCCTCTCCAGACCCATCACTCAGAGCACGCTGAGTGCCGGCGACTCGCCGGAGGGAGGGGCGGTGAAGGGACCCGGAATTCCGGACTGTGTACGCTTCCACATCCGGGCATTCCCAAAGGCCAGCCCTCTCCTTCGCCTCCGTCCTCTCGCAACAGGAACCGGAAGTGGGAGACGGTTTCCTGCTTGCCTCTTAGCAACGCAAGGGGTCAAGTGACACCATCAGCTGACTCCGGTGGAGGAAGGCTCTGTGGTTACCTGTTCTGGAGGTGTTGCAGTCCGGATTGTCCGGCCGGGGGCCCGAGCCGAATCGCCGTCAGAATGTCGGGCAAAGACCGGATTGAAATCTTCCCTTCGCGAATGTAAGTTAAATAGGACAAGCGACACCATGTTCAGGCACATCTTCCCGGAGCGCATTAATGCGCACCCTCGGCCACCAGCGAGGTTCCTTGTTTTCTGGGCGGCTCCTGAGCTTTCCCCAGGGTCTTACTCTGAGTTCGGAGGGAGGCTTCTTTCCAGCTCCCCCTCACCTGTTCCTTCTGAGAGAAGAGGCTGGAGAAAGTGGTTCCAGTTCACAGGAAAAAGCCTGCTGGCTTTTTTGGAGGTTGATGTCTTTACTCATTAATTTCACACACCCTCTGAGCCACACACGGAGTTTACATAACTGAGCCGTCGCCATCTCAGCCTCACAGGGCTCATCAGTGCTAAGATGACTGCACTCTTTTCTACCCTGTCAATGTCACTCATGACACTGTCACACGGATATTTATTTAGGCTGTCTCCTGGATGAAGGAGGCATCTTTTTAATGCATTTCTACACAAAATGCACACACAAAAAAATTGTTCCTCGAACCCGTTCTTGCCTTGGGATGTGCTCAGTTGCAGGCTGCCTTTCTGCTTTGGCCTAACATCTTTGTTAGGAGAAATGACATTTGTAAATGAAAATTTGAAGTTTTCTCAAATGCAGATAATAACTTGTGGAAAGTAAAGGTTATTCCTATTGGTGATCTCATCTTCAACTGTCCCTGAAAAAGGAAATCAGTTTTTACTCTGATATTTAAGTCTTTCACTGTGGTCCTGTTTTGGGGCCTGTTTAGGGGTGTGTGTGTGTGTGTGTGTGTGACACTGTATTGTTTTCCTAATCCTATTCTTTTTTTCTCACAGATCCAAGGACTCAAACCCCAGAGTGAATTTTTGTCTCTGCCAGGGTGTATGTAGTTCTGAATGAATGAAAGGGTTTATTTATAAAAACATCCTTTTAACCTTCTCTCTTCTGACTTTGAAATGGCAGATTATGCCAACTAACTGTACAAATGGGCTAGTTGTGGAGAAATGAAATGCTTGTGAAACAGCTAAAGATCAGGACTACCCTAGGGTGATCTGAAAACCCAGCATGTAATGACCCCCTCCAAACTTTACTGAGACACCAGATTCCAACCTGGCTTCTGGAAACACAATGCTATGCTCCTAGGATGACCACAGTTCTCCCCCTGGGCCCCAACCCCAACTATAATGCCACTGAGTAATAACTTAGAGGCAGAGCTCTTGCCCAGCATACAAAAGGCTGTGGGTGCAATCCCCAGCACCTAAAAGTAAAAATAACCACACCTTCCTCAAACAAACAAAACTCAAACTTGATAGAATTAAATACTTGTTTTAGCTGATACCTGATTGATAAATCCTAGACTTCTCTTTGAAAGAATGTTTATTAAAAAGGGCTTTTAATTGAATATATAGTTTATATAACTCAGAAATGTGTCAGGGATCTGAGAGAACCCTTCTTTGCAATGTAAACAACCAGAAGGACAGAATCTCTGTGTCTCTGAGGGAGGCTAGAATCCTGACTTCTGTTAACTGTCAGAGAGCAGACACCGCTGACACAGCCTCAGGTGGACTTACTAGCCCTTCTGATTGTCACTGTACTAAGTCTGCTCAAGTGTGACTCATTCTCTTTAAAATGCGCAGGCCCGTCATGGTGAGCCAGAATGGTGCTCACCCTTTTGCTTTGCTGTCAGTGGTCTCACTGTTATAAATAATGTCTAGCCATATTTAATCACTATTCATAATGCTGATATGTTTTTATTTTTACTTTGGAACTTTTAATTTAAGACTACAAGGTGGAAAATGGTCTTCTTTGGGCTCAGACAGGAGAAATGATAGGTTTGTGATTGTGAAAACTGTTATTTGAGAGCACTCAGTTGAGAGGAAGTCAAGGGTGGGAAGTAAATATTTTTCCCAAAGCTTGACAGCAGGTTCTTTGTCATATAGTCAGATGTCTTTGATTCAGCAGGAGACAAAGTCACTGTTTTAGTTGAAGGTCAAACGTCTCGTTTCTTTTTTTTTTTTTTTGAGGGCTGAGCAGCTCTGAAACAGAAAAGAGCAGGTTTAACAGCCGTGATCCAGATCACACAGTACTGATTTTGGTTTCTCCTTCATTTGCTTGGTGCTATTATCCTGTGGAATGTCGCTTTCATTCCTGTATCACCAGAGAACATGAAACAAGTTTGGATGGAAGCAAAGGAGGTCCAAAAGGGTGTGGTTCAGATGGTAGAGCACTTGGCCAGCACACACAGTGCCCTGGCCTTCACTCACTAGTACTACATAAATCTGGGTGTGGTGGCACATGCCTGAAGCATAACAGAATCAGGGGTTCAAAGCCAGCCTGGGATACATAAGACCCTGTCTCAAGTGGAAAAAAGGGCACAAAAACTGGAGTTAATGGAAGTCAGGTGAATCTTGGTTCTTCTACAAGTGTTGGGGAAGTCGCCTCTGACTCATTATTAAATATCCCGTTGCCATTATTATATTATGACCTTCAGTTTCCAGCCTTCTTGCCTTCAGGCCCCAAGTGCAGATTGCAGGTGTTCAGCACTCCAGATCCAGCTGCAGTCACTCTTTAGTCTCAGTAACTGAGAACTTCCTGCACATTCACAGGAAGCACAGAGGTACAGTCATCTAGAACGACGTTTAGCTTATCAGTCAGTTAAAGCTCCAAACTTGTAGGACTCTGCTGGGCTGGGATTAACCTAAGTTTTATCTAACTGTCTTCCCCCTCCTGTGTGTGTGTGTGTGGGTGGGTGTGCATTCAAGTATGTGGGTGCATATGCCTCTGGAGGTCAGAACAGGGTGTCTAGTTTCTTCTTCAATTACTTTCCCCTTCTTTGCCATGAGACAGTCTCATATGGAGCTGAAAGCTTGTGGTCTGGGCTAGGCTGGCTAGGAGGGTACTCTCAGAATCTCTGCCCACCAATGCTGGGGTTCAGGCACATGCAGAAATCCCTGGCTTTCTCCTGGGTACTGGCTCCTTATGCTCCAAAAGCAAGTGCTCTTACACACTGACTCATCTTCCCAGCCCCTTATCCAATCTTTTGAGTCTTAATTCTGGTATTTAGTGTCAACAGTGCAGAATGTTCAGTATACACACTGGTGTGGCTAGCTCTTGCTTGGGCTGGAAACTGAACCAGCATCAATGGATTAGACTCTGGTGAGAGCACCCACTGCTAACTACCTTTCAGATGGAATACTTACTGTTCAAGTATTATATCGTATCAGGGATGCACTGTGGAACTGGGGTCTTGTGCTCCTAGGTTTTAAGCCTTCTTTTGAGTCTTGAGCAAGTCACTAGAATCAAATCTGGTTCAAATTCTTGCCTGCCTGATCTCCAGTGATAATAAGGTCTTTGTTTATGACTTTATTGCAACAACAGTAATAGAAATATATCATTGTGGATAAAATGTAGAATATACAAAAAATGCAGAAGTAAAAAAGTAAGCTCATGTTTTTCCCAAGCCTTGTTTCCCAAAGAAAGCCATTCCTAGTTTCTGTGAGAGCTTTGTAGTTCTGATCCTTGCACCTGACTGAGCTCATTCAATTCTTAGTTCATATAAAACAGAATATAGATCTCTCATAGTGGTGTTTGTTGTGTCTTTTTGTTTTGTTTTGTTTTAAGATTTATGTATTCAGTTATACTGTTGCTCTCTTCAGACATACCAGAAGAGGGAATCAGACCCCATGACGGATGGTTGTGAGCCACTATGTAGTTGCTGGAATTGAACTCAGGACCTCTGGAAGAGCAGTCAGTGCTCTTAAGCTCTGCGCCATCTCTTCAGCCCCTTGTTGTGTCTTTTAAGTGGTGACAATGAATATGTTTGCTTTGTTTTTTGTAGGGCACAGACCATCATGAAGGCTCGATTAAAAGGAGCACAGACTGGTCGAAACCTCCTGAAGAAAAAGTCTGATGCCTTAACTCTTCGATTTCGACAGATCCTGAAGAAGATAATAGAGGTAGAATGAACTTTGCTTAGAGCAGGTTATCTACTTAATATACATCTAAGGAAACTAAAGTATGGCTTTGTTTTTCTTCCCTCCACCTCCCATCCCTTTCTCTCTCTCTCTCTCTCTTCCTCTCTTTCTCCTTCCTTCCTTCCTTTCTTCCTTCTTCTGGTGCTGGAGATTAAGCCTAGGGCTTCATTCATGCTAAATATATACCTTACTGCAAAAGTAAATCTCTCTTTCCTAATTTTTCTTGCTATTGTTTAAATCAACTTTTCTCCTTTCAAAAATAATAATACCTCTATAGTATGTACTATATAGGCATATATACACACAGAAATTTAAGTTTCAAAGAGTTCATTATAAAACCCAAACTTTGTCATGTCTACAGAGCCACATTATCCGATCTGTACCATGCCTGCCTCTTTCACCTCATGTAGAGTGCTCTTTCTGATGTTCTCTTCTAGGGACTTTTCATTATGTTTTCTGTGATTAAAATGCTTTTACCTTAGTCCTTTCTAAATTGAGATAGGGCCTTGCTTTGTAGGTCAGGATAGTCTGGAATTCATGGCAGTTCTTCTGCCTCAGTCTCTCAATGCTGAGATTCCAGGCATAAGAGATTGTGTCTAGCACCCTAGAACTTCTTTTCCTGGTTTCTCTGGTCATTCTGATCTCATCAGAAAGACTGTTGCTGATCATGCAGTCTGAAGTGACTACTATTTTTACTTGTGTCATATCTCTTCATTTTATCTTATGGTGCTACACACTATTGCATGATATTATCTTATTTGATGGTCTCACTCCTACTAGAGAATTTAATTTCCAGAGAGTAAGGACTTAGTCTTTTCTCAGTACTCTATTTCCAGTGCCTGAAATAGTGCCAGCACATAGTAGGTTCTGCTCAGTGTTTTGGTTTTTTTTGGGGGGGGGGGTGTAAATTGTGAATTATACAGAATAGTATATAAATTATACAGAATCATTCTCAAAACTAAAGGTTCTCTTGCTAGGTCTCTTCTTGCCTCTAGCAGTCCCATCTCTCATTTCTCTGAGTTAGTTTTGACACTTTCCTAAATATGAATTTGTTTATTATAGCTTATGTGCCTGTGCACATGCCAGGGCACACATGTGTGGAGTCAGAGGACAACTTTGAGGAGTTGGTTCTTGCCTTCCATTTTACCGAAGCAGTGTTTCCATGTATCTGCTGCTGACTGTATACTCCAGGCTGGCTGGCCAGATGGTTCTTGTAGCTCCACTGTCGTCTCCCCATAGGAGTGCTGGAATCACAGATGTATGCTGTGTGTTCTCTCTTTTCCTGAGGCAGGTCTTTTCAGTACTCTATTTCCACTATATAGTTCTGGCTAGTCTGGAACTCTTTTTTTTTGTTTTGTTTTGTTATTTTTTTAAAAAATAATTGTTTATTTATTATGTATATGTATACACTATAGCTGTCCTCAGACACACCAGAAGAAGGCATTGGATCCCATTACAGATGGTAGTGAGCTACTGTGTGGTTGCTGGAAATTGAACTCAGGACCTCTGGAAGAGCAGTCAGTGCTCTTAACCACTGAGCCACCTCTCCAGCCCCTACTCTGGAACTCTATGTGAACACCTGGCCGACCTTGAACTCAGAGAGATCTGCTTGCTTTTATTTCCTAAATGCTGAAATTAAAGATGTTCAGCACGGTGCATAGTCCTTCTGGCTTTTATATGGATTCTGGGGATCAAGATTTAGAAAGCCATCAGGTGCTTTTACCCACTGAGCTGTCTCTCTGTCCCCAGTATTTTGTGCATACACATGGATTTTAAAATAACAGTAGTATTAAATTCTATAGTATTTTTGCCTGTTTCTCCCTCTCCCCTACTGTGTGACATAACACAGACAACTTTATATATCTGTACATAAACTTGCCTTAGTCTTTATACTATGATATTTTATTGTGGATAATGGAATTAGTGATGCGGCTGTAGTGTTTAGTGTTAATAGTCCTTGGAAGGAGGAAATGCTTAAATCCTTTTGTGCATATATGCTAATATTTTTCTAGAAAACAATTTTACAGTCTTCCAGGGTATAGGTAATTGCCAAGATTTAATGCTAATTTATAATTAAATTCTGCTTGTTTTCTTATATGCTTCCTAATGGGCATTAATGAAGTTCCTATTTGTTGCCAGTCTGCTGTGCTGAAGTTGTCTTCAGTCTGTGCTATTTTCAGTTATGTGTGAGCTGATACAGCTTTTCATGGTCACTAATAATTTGATTATCTTGTGAGTTTCTTTTCATTTGAAAAAGGTCATTATACATTCTGGTAAATGTATAAAACACTAAAAGTATTTTCTTCATATCTGTAAGTTAAAGGACAATTGAAGAGTTTTGAATTCCTTAGATTCAAGCCTAGGGACTTGTATGTGTCAGGCAGTGTGCTTCCACTGAAGTGCATCCTGTGCTTCCTAGTGTAAACAAACAACTAAAGCCCCTTATGTTTTATTTTGTTAAATACAAAGCTTGCCCTTTGTCTCCCCCTCCCCCACTTTTCTTAGCCTGGATCTCACTCACAGGCTGGGTAGAGCCCACCTTACTTCAGCCCTCCTGCTTTAGTTGTCCAGTGCTGGGATTTGGTGTGAGCAACCGTGCTGACTCCCTAGAGATCTAAATTATACAAGGCTTAGAAAGGCTTCAAAGGGCTAGAAAGTATTGTTTTATTTTGTTACTTTATAACTTCATTTATTTTGAGAGAGAGAGAGAGAGAGAGAGAGAGAGAGAGAGAGAGAGAGAGAGAATCTTTTTTGCCCAATTTCCCATAAATTCATGGTCTCAAGCAATTCTCTGGACTTATTAATCTGAATAATGCTGACTATAGGTGCGAAACACCACACCTGGCTTATAAGTTTTCTTTTGTTTTAGTTTTCTTGCAACAGTTCCATATAACCTGGGCTGGTCTCAAACTGCTGTGTAATGAAAGATGACCTTAAACCATCTTCCTGTTTCTCCACCTCTTACATGCCAGGATTATAGGTGTATGCCTCTACATCTGCTCATTGTGCGTGTGTTTTAAGATTTATCTTTATTATGTGTATATGTGTGCATCTGTGTGGGTATGTACATGTAAGTATAAGTGCCTGCAGAGGCCAGAGGACCTGAGTTGAAATGCCTAGAACCCATATAAAAAGCTAGGCATGATCTATAACTCCAGGTGGATGAGTTGGGGTGGGGTCTTGCTAGCTGCCAGCTTAACTCCAGTTTCAAGAGAGAGCAAAGTGGAGAGTCATAGAACAGGAAAACCACTGCCCTTCGCGTGTGTGCTCTCTCTCGCGCTCTCTCTCGCTCTCTCTCTCTCTCTCTCTCTCTCTCTCTCTCTCTAACACACACAGGGGAGGGGAAGACAAAATGTCTTGACCTCTTTTACAGATGGGTCTTTTTTGGTAGAAGAATGTTTTAAGGTTGGAATTTGTCATTTTGTGAATGGATGGACAGTTAAATGTTCTTTTATTATAATAAATTCTCACATAGACAGACCTGGACTTGTTTCTGAATACTCTGTTCTGTTTGTTATCAGATATATTTAATTTTAACAGATTTTCTTTTTAATGTTGTTCAGCTAATTTTCTACTTTCTCACCCAATTTTTCTTCTGTTAAAAAAAAAAAAGTTGGCCTTTCCAAGCATTGCATTCTCAGCTGCGCTCTGGAATCAGTGTGCCAAGGGGGTTTTGGACTCTGAGTGAATTTAGAAGATTAATTTGAGCAAATCAGCATGTACTTATTCAAGAATAAGTGAGCTTTGCTAGATTCTGTTTTGTGTTTGTCAGTGAATTTATTTTAATTTTAATGCTCATGGTTTTGTGACATCATCAGGACTGTGACCAAAACTGGAGTTTTCTCATTATCCAATCAGTTTTTGATGCTGACACTTTATACTTAGTATAAAATACTGATGATTACTAAAAGGAACTAATCATGGTATGATTTTTTTTTTCTGTAAGCTCTTGACTGACTCTCTTGTTGGCGTTTGCTTTCTCAGACTAAAATGCTGATGGGTGAAGTGATGAGAGAAGCTGCCTTCTCATTGGCTGAGGCCAAATTCACAGCAGGGGACTTCAGGTAAGATGATGAACAGGGTGTTTGAAAAAACCCAGTGCCTTCAGGTTCAATTAATAGGAATACTGCTAATGTCATAACCTTAACTGCCTCTACCTTCCTTATAGGTAACTGCCTCTTGCCTTCCTAATGGTTTTTTATAAGTGCCAAGCACAGGGTACTTGGTATTTTGAAGCCCATTTTCAATGAACATTTTTCCCTGTTTTCACAGGTTTGTACCCTAAAGAGGTCTTATCCTTTATTAACCATTTCTCCTGTGCTAGGTCTTTGAGTTGAATGCTAGATTTTTGAAATCTGAGGGAACAACTATGAACATTTTCATATTTCTAGGATATGTTTTTGTTGAGAATGGAATCCATTATTATTCAATTGAGAGCCTTATGGCTTTATCAGTATGGCTTGACAAAGTATGCATACTGGTTTGTAAATGGATTATGTCAGTCTATTCCCTCATGATTCTCTTAATAACTCTGTGAGGCAGGTAAATGGTGTTACCATAGTTTAAAGTGAAAGTGTTCCTGAGAGTACATGGCTAGTTATGGACAGAGGTGTAAGTTGCTTTCTGGACTTCTAGTTTTCTTTGGGATGACATGGGTCCTTCGTGCTGTAGGAGCTTTTCCTGTCATTAAGGCCTTACACCCGTAGGCCCTGAAGCTAGTTAAGTGGCAAGTTTCACTGTCTGTTAGTAGGATAATGTAGTAGGGTAATATAATTAGTTGCACTGACTTTTCTAGCAGAAGGGGACCAACAATAGTAGTGTATTTTGTGTGGTTAAGGGGAAAGTTGTTCTTTTTTGTAACAGATGGTGAGTTGGATGACATCAGAAGAAAGTTAGAATAAGGACTGTAAATAGCAGCTCACCAACTGAACAGCAAACCTAGAAGGAAAGTAAGTTTTCTGCTAGGAATACATCCTCTAAAGTCACATGTCCACTCACTGAAAGCACAAGCCATCGACATACTTTAAATTTGCTTATCCCGTGGCTAGTGAGTTAGCTATTGTTAGTTCCTCATTGAGGACTTCCAAACTGTTGAGTTTTCTTTTCTGGAATAAAGATGATTACTGAGGGCTGGAGAGATGGCTCAGGGGTTAAGAGCACTGGCTGCTCTCCTAGAAGTCCTGAGTTCAATTCTCAGCAACCACATGTTGGCTCACAACCACCTGTAATGGAAAATTTCCTCTTCTGGTGTCACTGAGAACAGATCTCTCTCTCTCTCTCTCTCTCTCTCTCTCTCTCTCTCTCTCTCTCT